AGTAGTTAGTTTCAGTTCAATATGTATTTTCTGTAAAGATTATTAACGATTTTCTGTATAGGACTTTGCCCTGGTCCCAATAGCTTTCAATGTTGTGTAGAAACCAAGACCACTTGAAAATTAATATGATAAATAGTTGGTTTTATTTCGATATTTTCTGTAAATGTTTTTCTATATAGGACTTTTGTCCTGGTTTCAATAACTTTCAATTTTAAAATATATTTATATGATAAAGGTCATTTGAAATTGTTTTTAACTGTGTGTGGGTATTACATGAAAAAAATCGAATTTATAAAGTTTATTGTGTTTTGATCCACTTTGTTCGTCATTTCGAAAAAATAATGGCACCATTACCTATGCACTGTTCGGGAAAAAGAGAATATAAACTACACAATAAAGCTCTGTTCGGGTTTGATCCGAAAATCGTAAAATAGTTTTTCGTTAATAATTTGTATTTTTACTAAGACACTTGTATTTTGTGTCTTAAGTAGAGTTGTTCGAAATGTAATTGTGTATATATTCACAAATTTCGCTTAATTTGAATTAATATTGAACGAGAAATAACGATTTTTAGGCTGACCCGAAATATTTCGGGTCGGGTCACGGATTGGAACACTATTATACAATGATCAGTCTCAATCCCTATTCTCTTGGTATTATAATTCATTTATCAACTTTATGTCAAGAAATTTTGCCAAAATGCGCTTATTATTTTTCCGAAGCTTAATACCGATCTGAATTTTTTCCAGGTGAATCGTAAGTTTATTTTTCCAAAGTAAATTTCTTGAAGCTTTAGCTTATATTGCTTCATCCACCAATATGTGCTTAACAGTTTCCACTTTTTATGCTTGACATAAAGTCAATCAAGCTGATTGTCTGCAAGAGTTAACCCGCTGTTCAGCATGACGACATAAATATCTTTGAGTTTGTCGTGCATGACGTACTAGTTGTAATCGACCTTGTAGCTTCCGAACATTCCAGACTAGGTTCTGATTTTGCGTTAATAAGGCATCAACTTGTCTAGTATAATATTGAATCAAGCACTTGGGAGCAAAATTATCTCGCAATAAGACTTGTTTAGAAATTTTATAACATGTATATCTGTTTTATAAGTCTGCAATTCCCTCGCTAAATCATTGGCCCGATTTTCTCTCGACGATGTGTTAACGCATCAAAATCATGTCGTCTTTGAGCTTGAAGAGTATTATATTTTGCAGTTGGAGAATAATTCGATTCCTCGATCATTAATACAGTCCGACGAAAGTAATTGCGGCCAGTTTTTTTATTATCCCTTAAACCGTCCAGCAGGAAAATTTGCTCGCTAAACTGGACGGTTTAAGAGATATTTCATTTATCGTATAAAAAAATTTATTTTGAAAGTGCCTCTGAGTAGGGCATTATATCCCTAAAATATCAGCACTTGGTGTGCTCTCTTCCCGTGTCAATGCAAGTTTGAATTCATGTACATACCCCTACAGTATATTACAAGAAATTTCAAAAATGAATCTGTCACTTTGGAATCCGATATCTCGGCATCCGGTGGTCCATTCGAACAAAGATATCTCCATTAGATTCGCATAGTCGAGATGAATCTAATGGTGATAACTTTGTTCCAATGGGATCACTGAATGTTGAGATATCGGATTCCAAAGTGACAGATTCATTTTTGAAATATACTATAGGGGTGTGTAGTATTTAATGTTCTAAAAATTTTGTAACTAAAAAAACAATTCGGAAATTAGTTCTCCCCATGAAATAAATAGGTAATCCCCAGGAGCGTGTCACTAGATGTTCATCATAAGTACCCTAGCCATGGCAAAATAAAAGGGTCGGATCACGTGCTGATTGTGGCACAAACCAATAAAAATGCGTAAATTTTTTATCAGCCCGACAAAACAAATCCGGCGCAAGAAAATGAAAAAAGCAAAAAAAGTTGGGAAGACAATTTTACATATAATCTTGACTCCAGCTAACCTTAATCCTGATCCTAACCTTTAAATTAACCTTTAACAATCACCTATATTACCGTAGAATTTTTCCGGACATACACAAATATCACATCATCCGACCCTTTTTTTTTTTGCCATGGCTAGGGTGCTAAATTTAACATACATAATTAACTAGTTATAATGATCCTAAACTTTCTCTTTCTTTTGCTAATTTCTGAAAAAGTAATAGAATCAAAAAAAAATTGCCAGAATCTGACTCCCGATTTGCTTCGCCAACTAAAGAAGTGAATTTAGAATTCCAGCAAGCATCAAGAAATATAAATATAAGAATACATGGATGACCATATTTACGAATTTTCGTAAATTACAATTATTGTTAATCACGTGTGAAAATTTATGATGAAGGTAGTCATGAGTGACACTTAGTGCGACAGGGGATTACTACCAAAATGTTCGTCTTATTGTGATGAATAATATGATCACTGATTATCGAGAAATTAAGTTTTTAAAATTTTAAAAACCTGCAATCGGGAAATGACTTGCCGTGATGTGTTCCTATTAGATTTATTTTTTTTAATTGTTATTATCTTGCTAGAAATCTGGTACTATTATTTATATATTTTGCTTATATAAAAAATGTTAATATTGTAGTAAAATTTATATAACAATCACCGCCATTACTTTCGCCGGTGACTGTAGTATGATTAAAATCTCGTTGTTCTCGATTAGAGGTGATTTGATTAGTGCTCGATTTATTTGATTTATGTAATTAAATCTGAAGTATTATTATATCGTCTTTGATATGACTCAGTTCTGTATTGTGTGAGCCATAGATTCTATAAAAGGATTAAAATTTTGTTTATGAGACACTACCAGGACGACCTTCTAAAGTGCGTATCACGTGATAGTTTTTGATGATGTCAATGATGTGAAAAGAAGTACCCTAGCCACGGCGAAAAAAGTGTCAGATCACGTGCTGCTAGCGGCACAAACCAATAAAAATACGTAAATTTTTGATCAGCCCGACAGAACAAATTCGACACAAGAAAATAAAAAAAGCAAAAAATGTAAACACAGATGCCTAAATCTAAAAAAATGTCGGGAAGACAATTTTACATATAATCTTGACTCCAGCTCTAATCCTAATTCTAATCCTAACTTTTAAATTAATCTTTAATAATAATCCTTATTACTGTAGAATTTTTCCGGACATACACAAATATTACATGATTTGATACTTTTTTTCGTCGTGACTAGAGATACAGAATTCTAAATTCAATTATAATATGAATTTATTAGCTAATGAATATATATTATTATATTATTATAGTAAAATTTATTACTTTTCAAGTTTTAACTGGAAATAATTATAAAATTTCTAGTTTGATTTTATATTAGATTTGTTTCTTGTAATTTTAAAAAATTACTAATAATTTTTATTTTGTTAAGAATTCAATTTTTTAATTATTATCTTATCAATTTGTATTTAGAATTTTGCGAACTCAGATTTGTTTGATTTGTCTAATTAAAATGAATATTCTTTGCATTTAGCCCTTGAATATTGAAAGAAATATAAGCACTATTACAAGTGAATTTTTAGAAGAAATTAATACTAAATTAATTTAAATAATATTATATCAAGATAACTAAATTTAATTATAACATGAATTTGTTAGCTAATAAATATATATTATATTATTATAGCAAAGTTTATTTATTATTCTTTAGATTCTAACTAAAAACCATTACAAGATCATATAATATTTTTAATATGAAATAATTGTTAATATATAGTTATTTCTCAAGTTAACTTTTATATTATTATTATATAAATTTAGATTTTAACAATATTTTATTATTATTATAGCATTTTTTAATATATTTTTATTAATAAATATGATTTAAAATGTAAAATACTTTTATTTAAGTCATTAGTTGAACTAATTATCATAACTTGTTTTTTTATAACTACAAAATCAATTGTATTTATATTTAATATTTTTTATTAATAAATATTATATTTATAAATAATTATATAATTTGAAAAAACTTTACAAATTCTTATACAAATTCAAGTCTGATTTAAATCTTAATTAAGATTAATATATAATATTATATACTAATTTGTAGCTTTAAACTTGAGCTATAACTTTTTATATATATATATATTATAGTATTTATTATAATATTATTAAAGTAAATTAAAATTATAATTAAAAATATTTTTTTAAATATATATAACTTTTTGAATATTCATTTTTAGTATTAATTATTTTATACCAATTTGTAATTTTAATTATAATTTACAAGTTTATTTAGAATTTCATTGAACATTTATGTACTTGAACTTGAATTGAATTTTTAATCTGGTTTGAATTTGATTTAAAATTCAAATCAAACTCAAACCAAACTTTTAATTGGATTTAAATTTTGAACCAGACTTTTAATTAGATTTGAGTCTGATTCAAGCTTGAATCAAATCAAACTCAAACTGAATCAGATTTTTTTTCAGAATTCTATTATAAATATATAAAAAATTACAGATTATAAAAAATTAAAAGTATTAAGTCTAATTCTAAAAATATTTTTATATTCCATTAAAAAATGTTTTTATTTTATTTTAGTTTATTAATAAATAATTACTAATATTTCAAAATTTAAATTTAATTTGAATTTGATTTAAAATCAAAATATTATATTACAATACAAATTAAAATCATTTCAATTTGTCTATCAATATATAATTAAATCTTTATATAGAATTTGTGATTATAAAAAATAATTAAAGAAGTTAAACTGTAAAATTATACAAAAAATCAAATTCAAATTTTGTATTATATAATAAAAATTTTGATTTAGCATGAGCATATTTTGAATTCAGTTTGAAATGTGGTGCTTGAAAGAAATATGATTATAAAAAGTATATTTTAATTCTAATTATTAATAGTTGAATGAATGTGATTATAGAGGGATTTGTATTTAGTAAACTGACTTTACTAGCATGTCTAACTTTTGCATAAATTTAAAAAATTTGGTACAATTATTATCAAAATGAATCCAACTGTTTCTGTACTTGCTCGTTCCGCGTGGAAGGGTATCTATCATCTTTTAAGATATATTGTAAATTATTAACATTCTGTTAATATTTGCTTTATTTTTTTCTTTACTATAGGTCCGTATTTTGTTCAATTTTCAGGTATTAATTACTACTAAACTCATGGAGTCCTAAAAACTAATTGAAAAGATAAAAATACTAAAAACGGATTAACCAAATCAAATAAAAAACTGAAGGTCTCCGACAAGCACTCGCCAAAAAAGTCCCACTAAAAACAACAGCACGCGCGTGCACAATTCTTCCCACATTTGTCGGCATCACGTTCCTGGTGCATAATGGCAAGAATTACATGCCAGTTACTGTGACTGAGGAAATGGTTGGGCATAAGTTGGGCGAGTTTTCACCCACGAGAAAAAGATTCTCGTATCGGCAGACGAAAAATAAGTGATTTTTTGGGTGTAGAAATAAATGTAGTTATCATTTTTATTTGGCATGATTTATCTTTTAGTTCGCCAAAAATATAATCATATAATTTCGAGTAGGCTGAAAAGTGAATACATTTATATATTTTTTGCTCAACAATAATAACTGCCGCTATACAAATAAACAAAAAATTACCAACAACCATATAATTTATACTATATTTTCAGAGTGATATATTATTAAGCAATATATTCTAATTTATCATCACTTAAATATATTCCAATCCACACCTTAGAACTTCAATTTATGCGGAAACACGCCTTTTGTGAGTGTGAATCGTGAACGTAAGTAATGGTACAGATCAATGTCTTTTCTGATCGTAGCGACAAGCGATTTATCAACCTCTTTTTGGAAGGTGGCTTTCTCGGCTGGGAATTCTTTTTTCTTCTATTTTTCGGGTTATTTTTGTTTTGGTTTCGAGAATTATTTTTGTGAGTAAAGTATTAAAAATGATGATGGGCAGAAATTTGATGACGGCTTACTTTTTCGCCTTCTTTAAAGAATTCTTCTTCTGTAGATTTCTTTGCGTTTTTTTCTCTCTTGAAATAGTTATCATCGAATTTATCGAGCTTGATAACAAAACAAATTAATTAATTAATTCAATATTGTAAGTAATAAAAAATAAAATTGAATTATAAAATTACCGAGACACCAGAGACATTAATCTTCGTAGTCGTAGCAATCACATAAGCTTGATTAACACGCCTTAACGGCACGCCATTAAGCTTATAAGGTCCCGTAACCAATAACAGCCCACTCCCGGGAAGTTGCTTCAAAAACACGACCCTCTTCCCCCTGAACCTGCCTGCCAACAAAATCAAAATCGTTCCAGGCGTAATACTAGCACGAAGCTTGGTCGTTTTATTGAGTTTACGAGATTTCTTTGGGACCGGAACGTCTTCGGCCGGATAGAACCTCGGAGCCTTGTGCACTGGGATGAAACGTTCTTTACCATTTTTGTCACCTTTGATTTCTACAGTTTTGAATTGCGCGGGTTTCGTTTCTGGTTTCGGTTGTGGTGTTTTCTTGCGTTTATAGATGGCTTTTTTGGAGTAGATTACTGAGCGGGAGTAGCGCGTGATCCCGGGAACGAGAAAAGAGTTTCGTGGTGCGTGGTTTGTGCGTGCCATCTTTTTTTTTGGTTTGATTTTTTTATTGCCATTCAAAAGGATTTTTTTTGTAATTTATATTGTTAGAATAAGTATGGATGAAGACAGGTAATCATGATATAATCGTCGATAATTATCCGAAAGATTCTTGTTTTTGAAAATTGACTCCTAATTTTTTCTCGATGATTTGTTTTGATCTTTTCTAGTTATATAAATAATTTCTAATTTTTCGTTTTGATACGCAAGAAATAACAAAATGCTTTCGTTTTCGAATTAATGAATGCTCAATTAACTTGCCAATCCGGCCCAATAAAAATTTATTTCATATGAAAAGATAAAAGGGATAAGCCCCTTCATGTAATAAAGGTAAAACTATACCACATTTGTTTGTTGAGAAAAACTATTTATAAGAGCTTAGTTTAACTTCCCACCTGCACTATTCAACGAAAGAAAACCAAGAAGCTCAAACAAAACATTTTACATACCAAGACTAAGTCTCTGTGGATGGAATTAACGAGAAAGAAAAAAATCGAATATCAATATCTCAAACAAGTTATGAAGAAAACGTGACGTCACCAAAAAGAGAATTTTTTCTATTGGTTGCACCAAAATTTCTTTGGATCACACTCATTTTCATCATTCGTATTTGGGATTCTGATCAAAAAGTCTTCACGAGTTCAATCAAGAAGGAAAGAGACAGACAGAGAAAGCTGCGAATATGGCAGAATACGATCTGATCCCTCGAATGATTCCTTTTTTGGACAGACATCTCGTCTTTCCTTTACTGGAGTTCTTGTCTTTGAATAATGTATTTTTTATTTTTGTTTTTGTTTGTTTTTGATAAAGGAGTGAGTGTTTTGGAAGAAAGGATTAGATTTTTGGATAAGGAAATTAATTGATTTTTTGTGGGAATTTATTTTCGATTGGATATGTGCTTTACGAATGTATCATGACGATGATCCGAAATGTTAGATATATCCAGAACAAGACTTACTCCGTGCAAAATTCGAGCTCTTGAAAGAGACAAATATGGTTGATTTTATTTCGGGGCTGTATAAAGAGATCAACAAGACAGATGAGATTCCGCAAGGTATTTCATTAATTAATTCACTTCATTGATTTATCGTTTATCTACGTGTGAATGTTGTTAGTAATAGACCTGCGAAACCCAAATTTTAGAATTCACAATCAAGAGACAAGAAGTTCTCCAAACGCTAGAAAATCTACAAACGGAATCACAAAAAGTTTTGGATATCATAGAAAACCCGGAAGTTATTGCGGCGCTTCGACAAGATAAATTGCAGAATTTGCATTTTCTTAAAGAAAAGTATGGGGTTAGTATGTATGAGTATATCATGTGTTGTCAATCGAACTTTTTTGATTTTCTCATCTAATTTCTCAAAAACAAAGCTTACGGAGGACATGGTCAACACACTCTACCATTCTGGGCAATTCCAATATAATTGTGGGAATTATGGAGGTGCAGCAGATATGTTGTATCATTATCGTGTGTTGGTGAGTTTTTGTAATTGATCAAGTTTGCAAGAGTGAGATTATTTATTTCCTTTTCTTTTCGTTTTCTTTTTTATTTGGAGTAGTCAACAGATCATGAACAGAATCTCTCGGCGTTATGGGGAAAACTAGCGTCCGAGATTCTCGCCATTGATTGGGACAATGCGTTAGAAGAGCTTCAAAAATTACGGGAAACTATAGATCAAAAGGTCTGTCTTTGTATACATTAATAAATAATAGAATTTGATTTTGAGTTTGATTTCGAATTTAATTTATTTTCCTCGAAAACTAGAACTTTGCGTCAGCGCTCCATCAGCTGCAGCAACGCGCCTGGTTCATTCACTGGTCGATATTTGTATTTTTCAACCACCCCAAAGGCCGGGATGGCATCATCGACGTATTCTTCCAACCGCAGTATATCAACACCATCCAAACCTCGTGTCCGTGGATCCTTCGATACCTTACAACCGCCGTCGTAACAAACAAACGGCGTAAGAACATCCTCAAAGATCTCGTGAAAATAATACAACAAGAGAGTTACGAGTACCGAGATCCGATCACCGAGTTTATCGAATGTTTGTACGTGAATTTTGATTTTGAGGGCGCGCAGCACAAGTTGAAGGAGTGCGAACAGGTACTGGCGAATGATTTCTTTTTGGTGGCGACGAAGCTCGATTTTATTGAGCATGCGAGGTTCTTGATTTCCGAGACATATTGTCGGATTCATTTGAAAATTGATATTAGGTTTGATTTTTTCTATTATTGATTATATGTTCAATGATATTATGTGGTATTATTAATTTTTATTGGTAATCTTCTTATTTTTAGCGAATTATCACAAACTCTTAATTTGGAACAAGAAGAAGGCGAAAAATGGATTGTCAATTTGATTCGTGATACTCGTGTTGACGCGAAGATAGATTTCAAAGAAGTAATGTTTCAAATTCAAAATTTTTGTATATATTCTCTCACCACATACCCATCCCCATTCATCAGTTTTTAATCAATCAATTAATCCCAATCAATTACTAAACAACACATCCCAATCAGAACACGGTCATCATGAACCAAAATCACACCTCAATCTATCAACAAGCAATAGAACGCACCAAAGGTTTATCATTCCGTTCGCAAGTGTTAGCATCTACCATTGAAAAACGTGAATCACATAATCAGAATCCAAATGCAATTGAATAATAAATATTTATTTAAAAAGCGAATATATTGTTTGGTTTTGTTGTGTAATTTGTGTTCTTGTATGAATGAGTAGTGTGTATGTTGGTTGTTGTTCTACTTGGGTTTGTTAAAGGAGCAAGCAAGATCATCCAAAACTTCTGATGATGGGAACAATAAAGAGCTTTCTATTAAATGGCTTGTTCCCTTTCTCTTTTCCCCTTCCCCATATGATGTTTATTGATCTAATTTACCAGGTGTCCAGCCATCAAACACGTCCATGGTACGTGTCACCATTATCACCATATCCATCAACGAGTTTACTGATACTCGAAGCATTCGTACACTTGAACATTTGAATTCCCTAAATCGATCGTTACATTGTCTCAATAATGTTGAAAGATAAGAATGAATTGATTGATTGATTGATTATTGATTGAAAAAAAACATACACCAAAAGTTTTTCGTCTTTAGCGTGTATTGTACGCGTCACCTCGTCACTTTTTAGTTCTTTGTCAACGCTGAGTGCACGTGCTGCTATTATTGCTAGACGTGGTGAGGGGAATGGGATAGATAATGACCTGTATGCATGTTATGTATCAAATAAAGAATTGGAGAATAGAAAGAAGCGCGCACCAAGGATTTTATTATTAGAGCCAAAAAGTGAATCAGTTTTAGGCGATAGATGTGGTGACTTTAATTTTCTGTTAAGCTAAATACAAGTAAAAAAGTTGGTATCTTTATTTACATTATGTGTTGAAGTTCTGCCATAATTCTGCTAAAAGCTGTAAACTATGATATCATAGAGTAATGTAACGAACATGAGAGATCGACAACTTTAATAATTTTTTACGTCTTGTGATTTTTAACAAGTCTCCATTTACCACGAAAACTCTCCAAATCGTCATTTTCCACACCATCAGGTCTAATTACCTTTCCATCACATTCCAATTTTCGCAAGTGCAAAATTACATTCTGTTCAGCAAATAACCACACTTTCTCTGGATAATCGGCGTACAAAATTTCGACGATTTCCCGTGGAGTTATGCCATTATCATTATTATTATTCTCAAAAATACCCAATATCTGTTTCTCGCGTTGCCTCCGATGCAAAATATACTCTTCCAACTTCTTAACGCCGTTCTCGACAACAGGCCCATGCCCCGGATAAATTCTCATATTATTCGACTTATCACTACCACTAATGCGTATCAACTTCTCCAACGATTCTAAATAAGTTTTGAGATCGCTAAATATCGTAGTACCCTGTCCTAACACACAATCAGCGGTGAACAACGCGTTCTCCTCTTCAAGATAGAAAGCCGTATGGTCTTCAGTATGACCAGGGGTGTGTATCGCGCGTAAGGTTGCTCCTTGTGTTTTGAAAATTTGGTTGTCGGTTATTGGGTGTAGTGGGAATCGATAAGCGAAGTCGTGCTGTGGATCTGGGTTTTTGTGCACGGTTGGTGGTGCATGGTGCAGAGTTTCCTCGGCATAGGTTATGATTCCTTCGACGCCCCCAATGTGATCTTTGTGCCAGTGCGAAATTAGAATATCAGAGATTCGGATGTTTTCTCCTAGTTCCTTTAGAATTTGTGATAGTAGCGAAAGATATTCGGGTAAACCTTCGCCTGTATCCAAGAGTATTCTTTCGGGTCCTGTACCAATCAAATATGTGTTTGTTCCTAAATTATAACAAACATATTTTACATGACCTTCTATCGTGCGTGTGTGGAACAGGTACAACCACTTTTTATTTGCAACCACAAACCATACAGCAACAAACCTTGTAAAGTAAGTTTCCCAGGATTCAAACCTAATATACGAATCACACTCGGCGAAAGCTTAGAAAAGTTTGGTATTTCCTGTAGAGGTTCTGTCATTTTTTTTCTCACGACACAAAATTTGTTTTTAATTCATTTTTAATTTGTATAACGATTTAATGGAGCGAGCTTTGTGCTAAATGATTGGTGTGCGCGCACATGTATAGACTCATTGATATTAATTTGCAGAACAAATAATAATTTTAACTTTCGCGTTGCATGTGGCTGGTTAGCACTCCTGAATGTGTGACAGGTTACGCCGAATATATTGAAATGAAGGCGCGCAAATCTTGGATCAGCCCAGGTGTTCGGCGTAAACTGTCACACGCCGAGCCACAAACCCAATTAGAAATTTATTCTGTGGCTTCACTTTTAACGTTATTCCGAGTTTGGAACTTCTATTTTCAGAATTTTATTGTGGCGCGCGCGCGTACCTTATAAATATAAATAACAGTAGAGAGATCTTGAACAATTATCAAATGTTGAAGTTTTCAAACGTAATGGAAGCAAGAACAGGTCGTGATAAACAGGTTTATAAAAAAGGTAGCATACGACAGGTTAGCTCATTTTTCCTGATTTTCGATATCAGAGTGCATTGTTAGTTTGTTTGTTCGTTCTAACTGCAAGATTCATCTTTTTTCTTTGTGTTGTGTATAGGTAGCTGGATGTGTCCCAGTAAATACAAAAAAAGGAGAAATACTTTTAATAACACGGCGAAAAGGAGGAGGTTGGATACTGGTGAATGTCAAATATTTTTGTAAATTTATGACATATTTGATTATTGATTGTTTAATTTGATCGATTTTAAAGCCAAAAGGCGGGTGGGAGAATGATGAATCAAAACAGGAAGCAGCTGCAAGAGAAACATTCGAAGAAGGTACTAATTAATTAATTAATTAATTAATAAATAATAATAATAATTATTATTATTTTTACTATTAATATTTGATCTTTAAATCAAAGCCGGTGCCAAGGGACGAATAACAGGACTGTTGGGTGTATGGGATCATCATTTTGTAAATGAATCCACCGGACTTCCAAAAGCAATGTTTAGTTTCTTTGAGATGGAGGTTGACAAATTGGAGGAAATGTGGCCTGAAATGGGAGAACGGGATAGAAAATGGGTATATTATTGGTTTTATTTTTGGATTTCTCATATTGCTATGTAAATTTTTTTAATGCATTTTTTCAATCTAATTAATTATTTGATCTATTTTGATTTTGCTTAACCGATAGTTTCATTACGATGAAGCAGTAAAGATGGTAATAAAACCATTTATGCGAGAAGTAATTCAGAGTTGTTCGCTTGCACCGCATACAGACCGAACTCAGGTATTACTTTAATTAGTCTATGTAATATTAACATAATATATCACAGAAATAATAGATGTTTCGTTATTGTCTTTGAATTTCCTCTAATTTTTTGTATTTTGCGGGTTGTTAAAACTCTATCAGAACTCGGACAACTCTTCAGAGGAGGACTACAAAGATACTTGGATATGGCAATTTTCGGTAGTCATTGTGGTATTTGCGTTTTTTGTATGGCTCGTGTCGACGCGGTACGATCAAGACCCGAATCCGGAACGAATTGGAAAAATAGTGCCGTTTTTTTCGTTTGATTAATCAATCGGTCAATCAATCAATTAATCGATCAATCGCTCGATGACCTCAACTACGTCGTCGTAATCATCGTCTTTCATAAGCTTTTGATCATATATCCATTGCGCAACAGCACCCATTGTTCATTTTAATCGTCTACTTGTATACGCGCGTGTGTATTACTTTTTTTAGTCAGTTACGAACGATCACAGACACTTATTCACCTTGTATTATAAGTTTCTTGTATTTGCATCCTAATTCTGATCCTCATGTTTTATTATCGGCTATTAGTGTTTATAGCATTGATTTTCTTGATCACAGAATCAGACACAACACAAGCTGTGTAAGACGTTAGTTCCAAAATAATAATTTTCTCTTGCGTTGTGTATTATTACGTACAGTAATTGTTATGATAGCACGCAACCTTTAACCGAATTAAGATTGCTGTTTGGGGGTGACGCGTGAAAAAGTTAGCTAAAAGCTTGATCGAGTGTTGTCAATGGACCCAGATACAATGATGATACAATGGACTTTTGGGTGTGGCGCAACTTGCATATAGATTCAGTTGTCAATTTGGTCCATGTCAATGGACCAGGTCATCAACACTGTTATTATCGCTATATATCGAAAATGGCATTTGATTATATTCTTTTTAATATGCCAACATGAAGTACATTTAGTAAGCTGTATACATCATATGTGTGTGAAAATTACAGAATGGAGTATAACGATAAGTGACGGTAGAATTCATTTTCTAACACGTGAATATTTTCGTTCTTTTTCCTTTTATGTTTTGGCTGGCAGAATACTCTTTCCTTTATAGTTTGGAATTCAAGTAGTAATTTCGTATAATGAATCAATATTGAAACGCTGCATATTGTTTTTTGAATTCAATTCACCTCCTGAAATATCTGAATCAACTGAAAGTGTTTCAAACTTCAAATGATACGAAAGGTATATAGCTAACTCCCGCTATGAGAAAGCGGTTGACCCGACCTTAATTCTTTCTTTTATCGCGATAGTATAATTATTTAATACCGAGTTTGGTCGGGAAAAAGTGGATTTTTCTTTTATAGAGTGTGTCTTATAACGGGAGTTAGTGATATCATTCAATAAATTGACAAATTCAGGAGTAGTAAAATCGATCGTTTCATTTATATTTCATGGATTTTGTTATTCACATACTACGTACGAAATCAATTTGATACACATCTAGAAGCGTCATAGTCATAAGGTCATATGACCTCGATTTGAGCTCATTTCAAGGTCATTGGAGGTTAGTGTGCCGTCATATGTACAAATTCCGAGATCTCGTGATCAAGAAATAGTAGAAAATTTTTTTCGGGATTTTGAGGAGTGAAGGAACATTGTGAATATAATACAAAGTTGTCAATGAATTAAGATAGTATCACGGATATTCTACATTTGTACTATGCATAGAGGGGTACTATATCTCATCGAAGTATAACTATGTGAATATATTCTAAATAATATAATATACTATATAAATTGCTGAAAGTCTTTAGGCCAATAAGTGTTTAATCGTAAATTTCTAACGTTAAATTTAGTTGTAAATCCTAAAATCTGGAATGTTGTAATTTTAAAATGAAAACAAAAAATACCCAGTCATATTTTGTCGACTATAATCAAAAGATCAATTTACAACAAGCAATTAATGCGATTACAGAAGCAATGCACAATGTCAATAATAGTGATCTTTTCTAATAGTGAATCAGATAGTGGGGCGAAGAATAATAAAACAGATGTAGTTTACAAGAACAACATGACAAATAGTTCTTTTGACATAGAGAACCTGAGTTGATGCAATAATTCGATAAATATTATTCTGATTAAAATCGAGAAAATAACGATAATTTTAAAAACCTGCAATCGGGAAATGATGTGCTCCTATTTTCGCAAATTCATCACATTTTTATTGTTTATCTTGCTAGAAATCTAGCATAATAAAACATGTTAGTAAAATTTATATAACAATCTCACCGCCATTATTTTCGATGACTGTACGTATTTAGGAATTTAATAACTGTTCACCAACTATTTATTCACGAATTAATATTTTTATTTAGATTTATGATTTTTAGTTTATGAATTTTAGTTTATGTTTGTATTCTACGAAAATTTTCGTTTATATAGAACGACATCTAACGAGACAGCTCGTGGTCTTTCTCATGATCCGTTTGCTACTGGTCACAAAACGAGTTTTAAAACACTTGAGAATAAGCATCAGTATAGATTTTAACTGGCATTTAGAGCAACAAACATACTTCTATTTTATCGTTATCGACTATGAAGCCACAACAAATGTTGTTTAATATGTATTTTATCTTTAAAAAATATAAATAGGCATAGAATGTTTTCGTAATTAAATATTTATATAAAATAGTTGGTACAAAAATCTGACTATGTAATTTCTGTTTAACCAGCGAGAATAATCGTAGGCTCCGAGTGAATGTTCGAGTGAAACCAAATTAAAAGATTGTTTTAGCCAAAATTCTTTCACTCTATGTGTATAAAAACAACTTGCAGAGAGTGAATTAATCACCAAGCAAAGACCCCACTGAAGAAGTTTAGAAATTGATTTACAATTACACTTCAATAAAAGCTCAATTCAGACTAAGGATGTTAGCAATTGAAGAATCACATTACGTATATCTAAAACGGAAAATATTACCGAGAACAATATTGAATGTGCAACGCTTTTAGAATTTGTCAAAAAGACAAGGTGGTATCTAAAATCAGCTGAGAACGGGTATGTCCGAGCTCAGGTGTATGCTACAGACTAAAAAGATGAAACAAAAGATTTCGAGATCTGCAGAGTCCAGGAACGGACAAGCAGGTTTTTCGATGAATTAAGATTCTCGTAATTGGATTTGTTCTTAATTTTTCTCTGAGGTCATAATCGCTTGTTGATTTTCGTGTTTTCGTCTTAACTAAAACACTTTTTTTCCCCTCTAATTAACGTATAACTTCTTTGAATTTTGGTTTTCTCTAGCCATAAAATTCAGCTTTTTTACGCAGAATGTTATTGTTTCTTGATTTTGCGTTCTAAAAACTCTTACATTCTGAACTTTTTATCAATATCGAATTTAGCCTCTTCAATTTATTATAAGCCGAGCACCATTAAAGTCAGTTGGTATAGACTGCACAGAGTTTCGAATAATCTTAATTTTTAGCCTCAAATTCTTGTCTAATTTGTTGATAAGACCACACAAACAAAATTTTTTGGTTTTCATAACACATGACTATGTAAAATGACCCGGCTTTTTATTTTAAAGTCAAAAATTTTATTTATATAAAATCGCTTTTTGATGAAATCAATTATTTTTTTTAGTCCGGTAACTTCAGGACGCGATATCGCGCGATCTAACCATGCTTCAATTTGTCTAGCTAAGAAAAATCGATATAGTAATAGTTATATAGATCGCTTCGATTCGTTTACTCAATCGCGAAATATCGCGTCCTGAAGTTACCGGACTAAAAAGAGTCGATTCTTATAACTTGTTTGATGCTTTTTACAATACAATATTAGACTGCGTCTCAAAATTTAAATTTCATAAACTGATTTGGGTTATGAAAACCAAAAAATTTTGTTTGTATGGCCTAATTCCCTATTTATTATGTGAATGTGAAGTGTTGTAATAAAATTGCCTTAATTTTTTTTTCATATCACTGTTTTTTAACCAATCATATTGAGTCACGATCAAATCGAAACCGTTTTCAACGTAAATTAATCTCGTCGAATTTTAACGCGACTTGCAATGGACTTAAGGACTATTTTAGTCACTTCTAGGATGAATACTATATTTTTGGAAGACGAGGCTACTATTTCTGAACACTACTCTGATTTAAGAGTGTTATTTGTCTACATTCCAACCAAAGAGAATCTTTTCGCGATACTTTAAGTACTATGATGCAGGTTGTGACCGTACTGCACAATAATCACGTTATTGACCGTACCAACCTCTACGACCAGATATTATTATATCGATATGGATACTCGATACGCCAAAGGATTATATAGATAAAAGTTCAATGTTCACAAAATATGAAAACTATTGTTTATAAGATGGAAGGACTTCTTAATTCATGTTTTGAGAATTTTGGGACATTGTCTTATCTAAATAAAAAATATGATTTTCTGATGTATTTTCATATCTTCATTCTCATTAAAATTTCGTGTTTTTTCCAATACAGCGACAGGTAATTTGGAAAAGAATTGAGGTTTCTAAACATAAGGCTTTGGACCTTGGGATAATCAAATTTCATATTTGTCAATTGATTGATTTTCTCTAAGGATTCGCCAAGCCCCAGCCAACTGCGCTTTTAAATATTGTAATTTTTGGGATTTACTAATCCAATCAACATAAAAATTTCGTGAAAAAAGTTAACAATACATGTACATTTTTTGAATATAAGTAATGTTAAATTAATTAATTTCTCTTGTTTCAATTCAATGAATTTGTATACTTTAAAGAAACAGTTTTCAAGTTTGATTTAAGGTTTTGTGTCATAAACTAAGAAGTTACATTGATCCTCTGATAAAATTACTGAAGTCTTTACTGAGAATATGCGAGGATATCGCTTTAAATTTAAAAATAATCTAAAATCTATTATTGGTTAATTTGCCACTGGTAAAGGTTATGGGTTAATACTGGGGTTGATTATTGGTTATATATAACCAGTGGCATAAAATAAAAATGCCCATTAAAAAATAGAAACCTCTTCCAATCTAGTCAAATCGATCAGCAATAGTGCTAGTCGAATGCTTGGTCTTCATTGTTATTTTTTTCTATTAAATTGTTTGCTATTTTCGCCAACTGTTTTTCAATACGTTCAAGCTTTTTTTTCGGTGGTCTTAAACCTTTCTTCGGTTGTTCTAAGGATTTTTTCTGTGGTTTCTTCGTATGAGTCATCTCGATTGTTTTTCATTGTTTTCCGTAGATTTTTCCCATTTTTCGATTGACATCGCGTAGTAAACATTTCTTTGTTGCGTAAATGCGTCTGTATATTTGATCAATAGTTGAGCACGCATCTGAATTACAGCGCGTTTTTCCGAAGTCAATTCGTTCAGCGCATTTCTAAATAGTTAAATATGCGTTGATTAACTTGCGCAAATTTTCGTTCTTCGTAATTAAAAAAGAATAAGTTACCCCATCAAACCAATAGATCAACCGGCCAAAAATTCCAATTTGTAACTTATCACTTATCCAAAATTATACGGCTCGTGTTGATTTATCCCAAAAATAATAGTAATTGTCTGATCGATTAGCCCAATCTAAGTCTTGTTTGATAGTGAAATTAGAATAAATTACATTGTTTTCGAGAATTTGTATGGTTCCGTTGTTAGGATTCTCCGTTATAAAAGAACCGTTAAACGTGGAGGACTCGGGTAAAATATTGATTACTGGAGCAAATCGCAAAAGCACCAACTTAAAGACAAAAGTCAAATGTATTATTACTTTCCTTTTGAGCTTTGAAATAGACAACAAAGCTTAATGTAATACTTGCATGGTGATTGCGAATCCTATGATAATAAACAATTGAGAACGGAGAAATCTAAATATCTTTACAGTAACATGGATATAATGAAAATATATTTTCCAACCGCTAATAATATTGATATCATTAGAATGTAAAATATAAATAACTTACCCGGTAAAAATCGCATTTGAAAAAACTAAAAAAATAATTTTATATGAATAAACTTCAATCATTTGAAAATAGAAAGCAAGTAGTAGATTACTTACGAATGCAATCCAAAGTAATAAACCAGCTAGTGAATAGTATATCACATGACTTTCACACTGAAGACCGTGTTTTTGACAATAAGGAGATTCTTTTCGGGTATCAGAGGTCAATATAACGCCAATGGATAACTATCATCACCGCGCAGCCAATTAGTTGTGTGATCACACCAGCAAGGTCGAACAAAATAAAACTTTTGACAACATCTGTTGCTTAGTTAAATAACGCCTTTCCTTTATTTTTCTAACTGATAGATTATAAGCAAATCCACACATTATAGCAGCAACAGGCATAAATAGGGGCCCAGCGAGTTGACTGTATACAATTTTATTTAAATGTGCGTAGCTTAGCCAAATGAATGCCATTGCATACGCAATATATAATAATAACAAAGATTTTGGAATGGTAACGCCATTGAAAGTCAACGACTGCTTCTATTGATGGGTTGTTGTAAATTTCTCCGGTCTTATCATGAATTATGAGATCAGTGAACGGGCTTTCATTGCTACGATTTCGCTCGAGGAATAATAAAAGTTCCAAGTATTATCAACAATTACATTCCAGATTCTTTCTTTCCTAGTAGAAGTCAAGCCACTTTTCATTAGTCCTGGGAGAGGGACCTGAAAACATTTCATATTCATCTTTCGATATTTAGATATATCGTTGAGTAATTTCTCATTTTCTGGTTGACGATGATTATTGAAAAGGTTAAATTCGACATCGAAAGAGTGAATCTCATCCAGAACATTATTTGGTCGATAAGCTAGCTCTCATGTTTTATCAAGAGTAATTTCATTTGAATGAAAAACTTCTTTGTTCATTAATTGTGTGACGATTTCTAAGAGAGAAAATAAGTTAATTAATAGTCATATAGTATATAAAATCACACTCTCGTACCATACAAAGTGATTTTAAAGAGTTTGTAAATATATGGAGGTCAAATATCCTATGCTTTATAATAGATAGGACTGGGAAAAGGTGTGATTGTAGAGAGGGTGTGACTATATAGGGTGTAAATATATGGAGGGACGATTGTACTTACTTGGAAATTTTATAATTAATTCTGGCAAAGTTGGAGTGACAGTTTCCATCCAACTCGAATTATCTTTAGCTAAAGTAGAATAATAATCGAGAAGTTTCTCTACAGTTTCGCGTTGATCTTGATTTATTGCACGAGGTTTAGCTCGTCATCATTCATCATCAACAGCAACCCGATTTGGTAGCGGTAGAATGAAAACGAGATTGAATGACGGTTTTGGTTCGTCTTCTCGAAGAGTTTGCCGAAGAATATGTAAACGATCTTCAGGTTATTTCAAATATAATAATATCTTCATGGAAATTCGCTTTAATCCTCGTTGTTACGATACGAAAACGAGTCTAATATTCTAAAATGATCGATGATATTGGACGCTATTCTTTTTATGGAATTAATGCTTATTGTGACTCTATTCTTTTATCGTTATGCGTTTCTTTTTGATTCATCATTAATTTCAATGTACTGCACATTCCTCTACTATAGATGTAGCATGTGGTAAATTCAAGCTTGTTATTGTCATCACGCGATTTTAATGTTATTTTTACCGATTGATTTTCCTTGACAAATTCGAAAGCAGATATAATTGGATCGGTGAGATATTTGGAAAAATCTGTTGGAATTGTACAAATATTAATAAGAGAGTATTTCTGTTTATTTTTTTCCAATATCCTGAATATTTTATTTCCCATTATTATTTTGGTTTTTTTTCGTTCTTATTATTGATTTTCTTTTTATTGCCGTCGATTTTCTTGGTCGTTTTGATACTCATTTTATTGTTGTCGATTATGGTTACTTTTTCGCCGTCGATTACGTACAGTTCCGGTGGAAAAAAATGAGACTAAAACTTTTTTAATTTGAATAGTATAATAACTATATTATAATATATATAAAAATTAAACATTTATATAATTATTTTCATGATATAAATTCAAATTTTGACATTAAATATTTAATTATAAAAATAAATTTAAATCTCTAAGTTTTGCTCATTTAAACAAGCTTAAAATCATAAAATTTTATATAATAGTTTTTAATATTTTATTTTAAAATTATTAATTTTTTTACTATTAAAACATATAAAATTTTTAAAGTCTGATAATTTAAAGATAAATAATTGTTTTTAAATATTTTATTTTAAAATTAATATTTTTTTTACTATTAAAACATATAAAATATTAAAATCTGATAATTTAAAGATAAAGTGTTTTTTGTTTATCACTAGTTATATGATTTTTTATAATTAAATATGCAAAATCATGTGATTTTTTATAATTAATTTTGTGTAATTATGTGATTTCATAAAAAAATATACTTATTCTTAAAATTTTAAAAAATTAAAGAATTTATAATATAGTTATTTTTATATTTTTTATATTTTTATATATAAAATTATTTTTTCTTTTATTTTAAGATAATAAAATAAAAAATAAATAAAAATTATAATATTAAAATAAAAAATATAAATATAAATATAATAATATTAAAAAATATATATTTAAAATTTTATAATAGATTAATAAGCAAAAAATTGAATTATATAATTTAAATTAAATAAATATATTAATTTTATTTTTTTTACTAAAACTATATAACTTTTATTTTATTGTTATTAATCTTAATTTTCTTTTTAATATTTATTTTATTATTATTAGTATTTTTAATTATATATAATAACAATAAAAAATAGAATACTAAAACAAATTTATTAATAAGCTATAGTAAAAATATAAAAAATATAGATTTTTCTCTTTATATAAAATTTTTCAATTTTACTAATAAATATTTTTTATTTTATATTAAAATAAAGATAATATTATATATTTTAACATATATTTTTTTCAGATTTTTTAAATTTAATCTGATAAAGTTGTTTAAATTACATATAAAATTAATAATTTTTTATATATTTTTATTATAACAAAATTATTAATTTTATATATAATTAAAATAATATATATATTAAAATATATAATATTATTTTTATTTTAATATAAAAATAAAAAATATTTATTAGTAAAATTAAAAACTTTATATAAAGAAAAATCTATATTTTTATTTTTATTAATAAATTTGTATTAGTATTTTATTTTTTTGTTTTGTTGATAATATTTGATCAAATTATTTTTTTATAATTTGTATAATAATAAAAAATGGTATTCTTCTTTATAAAAAATTTAAAATTCTTTAGTTTATATTTTAATTTGTAATAAATTTTATTTTTTAAATTTATATCTATTAATATAATACTAGAAATCTAAAGTTAATAATTATATAATTTGTTTTAATTTTTTATTAATAATTAATAAATATAATTAAATTAATTAATAAATTTTAATTAATATTTAATTGAAAAGTACAAATACTTTTTTTATTAAAAATAATATAAATGCTAAAAAATATAATTAAAAATCTAATAAAATTAATCAAAGAAGTTTTTTGAAGTTTTTAAATCTTTTCAAAGTGTTTCTTTTTTATAAAATTAATATTATTTCTAAATTATTATATATAAATAAAAAAATATTTACAAACTCTCTCAAATATCTTTGCAAATTGACTGTTATTTATTTAATTTAGTAATTAAATTTTTTTAAATAATTAATAAAATAATAGAATATAATTATATTTCAATTTTCTAGTGATGATTCAATATTATATTTTTTGTAATCGATTAATAAAGTGATAATTTAATTACATGTAATAATTTTTACATTATGATAATATTTTTTGTAATCGATTAATAAAGTGATAATTTAATTACATGTAATAATTTTTACATTATGATAATATTTTTTGTAATCGATTAATAAAGTGATAATTTAATTACATGTAATAATTTTTACATTATGATAATTCAGATTGGCATTATGATAATTTAGCATTAATATAGTATTGGTCTGAATTATAATAAATGCCAACCAATATGATTTAATTAATTGATAATTTTTAATTAATATTTCAATTAAAAAGTATAAATACTTTACTAGAAATAATAGAATATTAAAAAAATATAATTGGAAATCTAATAAAACTAACCAAAGAGATTTTTGAATCTTTTTAAAACGTTTCTTTTTTACAAACTCAATATTGCTCAATTATTATATATAAATAAACAACACTCTCAAATACCTTTGCAAATTGGCTGTTACTTGCTCAATTCAGTAATCACGTTTCTCTAATTAATCAATAAAATAATGGAATTTTAATCACGTGTAATTATATTTAAATTTTCTGGTAATGATCCAATGTTACGTTTTTTGTAATCAACCAATAAAATAACGATATCTTAATCACGTGTAATGAAGCAAACCAATTTTTACATTATGATAATTCGGGCTGACACTATGATAATTTAGCATTAGCATAGTGCCGGTCTGAATTATAATAAATGCCAACCAATAAAATAACGTTCATGTGCTAAATATTCACGTGATTTGTTTCAAATTTGGACTGATCATATAAAAGTGACCAACTTTAAATTAAATGCCTATAACTTTTTAAGTAGGGCTTTTGAAAATTTGACCGGTAGTTTAATAGAACTTATCTTAAAGAATAAAGTTACTGGTTTAATTTTTCTAAATTCCATTTTTGTAAAGTGTTAAAAGATTTTAAAAATATATCATTTTTATTGTAGAGTTTAGACTTCCCGCACCATATATTTTCCGGTTCTATGTCCGTTGATGCATTTTTCGGTTTTATATCTATTAATTCTAAGTGATGATTTTTTTGAAATTTCTAATTTTTCAGTTTCCCACTTCTCTTCGAATTTTAAAGTTCTTGGCATATTCCAAATCAAATTTTCTTGGTTTGTTTTTGATTTTTTGTGTATTTTCGATCTCAAAGGCGATTAAAAGCTTTGTATTATTCGCAATAAATGCCATCAACTTGATTTTTGCATTGTGGTGAGGTAATTCACGTGTTACTAATTCAATAGAGTTTGGCATAAATAAATACTAAAAGAATTGAAGTCAAGTGATGCTGCTAAATATTGTTTGTTTTCTTTATTAGTAGATACTGCAAATACTGGCAAAATTCTTTTTTTGTTTTTGTCTTGTTCGGTCTGAATGGCGAAAACTTCTTGAGGCTCTTTATTGGTCGTATCATTGAGTTTGTTAGAATTTTATTGATATTGAATAGCACCGTTGAAAGATCATAGCATTCAATCTTCCTAAGTTCGATTTTCTTGTGCCGGCTAATAGAGTATAAATAATTTCCCTTTACGAAATTGTTTAATTTGTGTTCCACTACGTCTTTAGTGTATTTCAAGTTTTCTGCAAACTTGTTCATTGGTGGATAAACATGATCAGTATTTATTTTCTTTTTTGTTGACCCGAAAATTGGTTATTCCCGTGCATTATCCGAAAGTTGTTTCAAAATGATAAATTCTTCGTCATTTAGAAATTGATAAGACTATTTCCAGCGCTTGCAACACAACTTACAACCTTATTCAATTCGTAGTTATATACAGTCAACACGGAAAGTAATGGCGGTCATGTTTTTCGTCAAAATTCATCAATATCTTAACAAGGAATTACTCAAATATCGTAAATATTTGGCATTATATTCTTTAGAATGACAGAAACAAAATTTTTTAAGGTCACAAAGCATGTTAACATAGTAATATTTGCGGAATCATGTGTCAAAGATGGCGGGCCCGGGGGCTACCCTAGTTAAAGAGCTATAAAAATTATTTATAAATATTTTTTATAAGCAAGTATGAAAATAATTTATAGAAATATATTTGTAATTTAAAAATTTTTAGTTGATATTTATTGAATAAATGCCAGTCAAAAAAGGCTTAATTTTGATAAATTTCATAATAAAACATAGTAAAAATATAGTAAATATTATTTTTATTATATTTTATTATGAAATTTATCAATAAACATCAACTAATTTTTTTTTAAATTGCAGATATGTTTTTAAATATATTTCTATAAAATTTTAAATATTTTTAAATAATTTTTATAGCACTTTAACCAGGGTAGCCCCCAGCCCGCCACCTTTAGCACGTGATTCCACAAAATATTACTATGTTAACACGCTTTGTGGTGACCTTAGAAAATTTTGTTTCTACCATTCGATTTATCTAATCTAGGCAAATCAAATAGTGGTATTTTCGCTCAAATTGAACCACTGGATGTCGAATATTACATACTAAAGTGACCAATTCATATTCATCGATCAATTTTCATTAGAAATTGATCGCCAAAAAATGAATTTGCTACTTTAGGATGCAATATTTCGACATCCAGTGATCCGATTTGAACAAAAATATTACTATTCGATTCGCGAATCGAATAGTAATATTTTTGTTCAAATCGGATCACTGGATGTCAACAATTAGATTATTGGATATTGAAATGTGTGTTATGAATGACTGATTATATTCGGGATGCGAAAGTTTATGAACATACCATACCCGATATAGAAGCTCTATCAATCTATAAAAAGGCATCAATGATCAGCGTTTGTGATGTTCTTTGTGTTCAAAAATTTCAGAACATTACACATAATTTTCGGAAAGTTATCCGGGATCAGTTACTTATGATGAGGACTGTACGTTCTTTTGTCAAAGTTGCTCAGTTATTTAATTACTGCTAATCGAGATTTACTTTCTTATTCATGTATTATTCTCTACTGTAATTTAGAATTGGCAACTTAGGGTTTCAGAATTTTGGGACTGAGTTTCATTTCAACTTCCAGAGACTTAGTCGAATTGCAATGGAATATATTTGGTTACCAATTTCATGTGAAAAAGTTTTTCAGATTCTTTAAAAATGCTGAATATTTTGTATTTTAATTGAGTAAAATTTTTATACACATTTGGTCATACCTCCATGTAATCACACACTCGGGAACACAAAAAAGTGCGACTTTAAAGAGTTTGTGACAATATAGAGGTCGAATTTCCTATATTTCATAATAGAAAAACGTGTAATTGTAGAGAGCCTGTGATCATACAGTTCCGACGGAAAGTAATTGCGGAAGATTTTTCGTCATATAATTAACCTCCTTTTAAAAAAAGGTTGGTACAAAAAAATTATTCATCTTTGACTCGAAATGTGTCTGTAGCAGAGTTGTAATACTTATCCAGCGATAGGTCGATTATTACGATTTAGCACTTTAACTCGCGATTACGCAGAATTTTATTCTGTTAACGAGTCTCCATCTATTAATAAAAAATGTTCTGCTTAAAATTTGCACAAGATATTAACTATTTTATTTAGCAAAGTAAATACTAGAGAGAGCGAAATGTATTAATATCACCAGTGCTATTAAAGAGTTTCATAAAAATTCAATGTGTGTGCTGACATGGAAGGAAGATATGTAATAAGCTGATTTTTTTGGTAGTATAATGCCTTACTCAAAGGTATTTCATAAGTAAAATTTTTGAACGTTATTATTTAAAAAAATTGCTCGATTTTTAAAAACCACTTTCCGCCGGAGCTGTATAGAGGTATGACCGTACAAGCAAATGCGAGAATTTTATTCTTGAATTTGTCAAATTTTTTGCAAAATCGCGTTGATACAAAAAAAACCTGCTATCATTAGTGCTCGTAGAAAATCACATTTACGTGTACAGTGCATTTTGTTTTCTTTTAGTATACACAGTAAAATTCGATAAACCGGAGTGGTCAATCAATTAGAGCTGAAATTTCTGAAATCCGGTTTATTGTGATTTTATTGGTCTCCGCTTTATCGAGAGTCCGGTTTATCGAAATTCACTGTGTAGTTCGGAACCGAGTTTAAATCCGGTTTCCTTCAGTTCAGATTTAAGCCCGAATTCAAAATTTGACTATATATATAATACGAAGACCAAACCGGAAGATTCGGTTTATTCGGATATAATAAAGGAGATTTGATGTTTCCATCATAGTATTTTTTATTTCTCCAGTAGTGTTTCGGGCGAAACTAATTTGATCTGCAAAGTGCTTCCAAATTAGGGTTCGGACTTATAGGGCAAAACTGAAGGTTCATTGGGCGAAGCGTTTCGGATTTTGAAAAATAGTTTCGCCCGAAACAATATTCTCCAGTAATTCGATATTTCTTAATAAAGCAATATCGCAATTAATTGCTGATAGCTGATTTATAATGTGTTGTATAATTACTGATTCCTAACGTATTATATCCTACCTCCGTCAGTGAAATCGAAAGGACCGAAGATAATAAAATTGGTGAAATTGAAAGAACCAGATTTAATAAAACTGGATTGAGCACAAAATCTATCTTGTAGTATGGTCAAAGATTGTTAGAATATGTTTGAATATAATATGCTTTCAGAATTTTCTGCTTTTTACTTCAAAAAGAATTCTAAATACAAAGTCACTCTCGTTATAATGAATGTGCCCGGACTGTTAAAGAAAATCTTTCACTATATCGAAAGGATTTAGTATAGACTGTTTTGAATTCAAGTTCACGATATCGAGATTAATTAGTCTTCACTAAATCGTAGGGTCGTTATATGGAGAGTATCTTTGTAAATGAGACTTTAAAAAATGGTCAAATTATGCTATGAAAAAAATTTATTGAGAGGACTTACTGAAATTGCTTAAAAATTACTTAATAGTGAGTTATTAGAATAACCTTCAATCTAATAAACTTTTTTATGCATCTTTGAAACCACAATAAAATAAAAATTCTCGTTATTTATAGCGTGTACTGTATTAGAATATATATATCGGATATTTTATGATCGATCAGGTCGGTCACAATGCAATGTTCATGGAATAATTACCCCCCCAATTGAGGAAGTAAACATGAAAGTCATTCATAGAGTCATTCAGCTTCTTAATAAGTAGAATAAACAAGTGGTTTGAACAGATACATAATATAAACAAAAGAATATTAACATGGCTCGAAACCAATGAACACTAAACATGAGCTAATTAATAATTGTAAGAATCAATTGAATGATTATCCAATCGCCGAAATTGAAAAACAGCGCATACACACCAAACTTTATACATGCATTTGTTGAATGAATGAACATTCTAACTATACTATTATTATCTTTGGCGAGATTCAGACCATTAAGCCACTATTCTTTTTGTGGAAATCGCAATCAAACGTAAAGACGATAGAAAACTGTATTCCTATTATCGTATTATTCTTTGTATGTGTATTTATAATCATAGTTCTGAAACACAGAAAAATTAAAGGTGACCATTATCAAATTTTAATTTGGTTAGCGTTAGTTGAATTAATTATTTCCAAATATGGTTCTGAATTGGAAGGGTGTTGACGATGACGTTAACGTTAATGATTTGTATGGTAAAACGAAACGATAGTGATAATACATGTAAGTGATCTAATCAATGACGATAATATCCGAGATTTGCAGCATCAAATAATCTTTTTTATGGTTTCTTGCATATTTCGTCAATTGGAAATTTGCACAATCACTGAATATCTTTTGAATACATATGTACATGTATTTGTATGTATGTGTGTACACAATCTTATTATAACATGCATTATATAAACGATAATACGAAAAATGTAACAAAAATTTCCTAATTTGGCAGATAATATGTATAAAAATAGAAGTTTTTTTTTTTCGAAGAATCTGATTTCTGTCTGTCGATTCATAGTAATTGTATATCAAAGAACAAGCAGAATAATTTTATCATCAATGAACAGATAGAATATTGGCAAAAGTGCAGTAATTATACCAATCGAATTAATCATAAAGAAAACAAGCGAAGCAAGGCAATCGGCTATAGGAGTTTCATCGCCATTAACGCACACACATATACGAAAGTTATATCATATATGTATGTGCCTGCATACTTGCTAAACGATAATTGCCTACATATAGACGGCATGGCAAAAATCGGCTTTGAAGAGTTACATGTGGATCATAAGAAAACGTGCGCAAACTCGAATATTAATTGATGATGGAGTTGCGGTATGAGAATATGTTGCACCTTCGATTAATTTATTTGAGAGTGCGCATTCTCGAATACATTAATCATCAGAAAAGTGTGTGCATGTTAATCATCCAAAAAAAAAACGTGCGCTCGCGCGAGAAAAGTAGGAAACGTAATAAATGAATAAAAAGATGAAAGTCGCTTGCTTCGTAACATGCATGCATGCATATCTTATACATATATACATGTACACTACATATTTCTATTAAAGTGCCTTCTCTCTTTATCTTTTTCCGATTCTTTTTTTATATTTATTTATATTATTTCGTTTTCGTTTGCGCTTTTATTAATCAATTGTTACGCGGATTTTTTTTATTACGCGTATGTTTGTGTTCCAAAATTACAAGAACAAGAACTTTTTAATTCGTATCCTACCTGATTAGAACGTGTACATGCAACTGCATTTTTGTACGAATCAATTCCATAGATTCTACTGTATGAATTCTTTTCCGGTTTTTTTAAGTTTCTGCCGTGTCTCGAAAAACCGATTTTCTTGTTGCTGTTGCTGCAATTTATTATTGTTGTTTGCTATTTTCAAGCAGTTTCTTTTTCATATTATTTTTAATTTAAATAATAATAACAGCCGGTGTACGATTAATATTATTATAGTTCAGGTCTGGTTCGCATTCATTATGCAGGCAAAGCATACAAGTAATTTATTAGGATTTAGTATACAACAACTCTTCTTTATTATTTACTATACACTATTCAACAATCGCTTGTCTTGGAAATCTTCACCATTTTTTTGTTGTTGTTTGTTTTGTATGACAAAACAACAACGAAACCAACCACCGAATGGATGTGCACGTATTTATACGTAATGGTAAAAGAAACAGAGATGAGACTTTTCCTTTTATATTTAATTATTATCATTATTTGTTTTTATTAATTTGGTCATTATCATACGGATTTTTTTTAATGAGAACAACAGCAGCCAAGTTAAAAAAATAACTAATAAATTCCATTACACCAACCCAAAATGACCAAATCGATGCCCAAATAAGGTGCCCAAGAAAAAACGCGCGAAAATCATAATTACACGAATTGAAAAGTATTTATACCCAGGATCATTTTTTCACCACTCATGTTTTTTCCTTTGTTGAAGAGAAAAGACAACAACAGATTAGATAACTTCCAACTCAATAATTAAAATCCATCTTTTTGAACACAACTCGTACACATATAAAGATCTCACTCGTCTATGTATAGATAGGAAAAAAATGTATATAATAAATTTAGACGTTGTGATGTGTATTGTGAGTGTGTTGACTAGTTTTATCGGTTCATCGGTTTTGATTTATTATACTATTACGAAATTCACATATCTACGACTGGCTTGGTTAGTAGCTTTTTTTATTGTTGAATAATATAATTTGAAATTCAATGAATGAGTCTATACTAACTAAGAAATAAATTTACAGTTTTCTAGCCAGCACGACAATAATAATACTTTCTACACTAAACTTAACCCGTATATTCATACACCCCTCCGAAAAATACTACTGGCTAAGCTTCGAGATTCTATCCGGACTATATACATGTCTCATTTCCACATTCTTACTAATGACCGGTCGACGTTTTTACGAGAAATCCAAGCGTTACAATCTTCTCTTTAAACTCACGTTTCTGTCTGTATTTGTCGCGATCGCTATACACAGTTTATTTGCTTTCTTGTTGTTGAAAGAGGAGACAAACGAACGGCCGGATTTCCTCGCCTATGTTATACAAGTGTTGGTTTGCATGGTGATTGGAATGATGGGATTTCTTTATGCGTTTACGCCGGTTCTAAAGAGTTTACATCGCGTTAATGCCAGCAATAATACGATCGTTACTATTATCATGAATAAAACTACACAATCTCCGCCTTCGTCTCCACGTCCTCTTCATTATTATCAAACCGATGCTGGACGAAATAGTAGCATTGTTACAGCAAATAACAACAATAGACATAGTGGCAATAGAACTAATAGCATAAATATGAGAAATAGAAGTAACAGCGACACGAGCAACTCCACTGCTACCACATCCCGTCTGCTAAATCCCCAAAATGCAGCAGTCGGAATCTGGTATATGACTATGATCGGAATACTCGCGATTCTATTCGCTACTTTCTACGCCGTAATATTCGGACTGGATAAAGACCGATTACCCTATCTTCCTATTTGCAGCGCCTTCGATTTTCTATTACGCACGGGTGTGCTGATGGTTTATGGAGTGCCGCCGTCGAAACGCGTGTTGGCGATGTTGATGGGCCAGATGGTTGATGTTGATGAAATCATCGAGAGTGGCGATGATTACTTTGACTACGAGTGTGATGATGAGCAAGGGATTAACGGTAGAGTAAGAGAAAGCAGAAAATAATAAGCATATAATGTTATGATTAAGACATATGAAAATGATTATTCTGATTTAATAATTATTATTATTGTTCAGATAGATTTTACAGACTTTGTAGATAATTTATATATATATACATAGCGATAGTTGATTTTGTTTTGTTGGGAAATTGTAATATAATTTTGTTCGTACAGTTTTCAGCTTTCATGCATTTATAAAATTGTAATATAATAAATTAGACCAATTCTTTTGAATTGCATAATATTATTGGCCGACTGATAGGAATTTTAAAACTTTTAACATTTGTACATTTATCGAACTTTATTGGACAAGCCAATAGCGATTGCTTTGAATTCCTGATTGGTACGTGGCACCTCGATTAATTTTTCTAGCCTGAACTTTAACGTGTGCATCTGGAGTGCTACAAAAACTAAAGATAATTTTCCAAGCACTGAACATGCAAGTACTTCAATCTTTCAAGCACTGAGCATGCAAGTATTTCAAGTATTACAAGTACATTACAACTACAAAAACTTCATCTAAAAGATTGTTATCAGATTTTTTTGTAACTTAAGGGGAAGCTGGAAAGGAGCGACTCAAGAACCCAAGAAAAGAAAATTTGTTGGTAGACCATCTTTTTCTGTACGAGAAATTTTTTTTTACGCATGACTAATGAATCTCCTTAAAAGATTACCGTTACTAATCCAGTACGTATCGGGTATTTCAAAATACATGTATATACTGTATACAGCATGTATAATTATGCGCGGTCATGAATACATTTTTTTATCTCTTGTTTTGTATTTTAGTCAAGAGATTATCGTTCTTGCTTTTTAATTTAAACAGTGTTCATTGGTTCCACAAATTATGTTACGTTCCCAGTTGCTTGAAGTGGGGTATTTTGACGCAATTGTGACGACAATGAAAACAATAGTTTTTTTATGAATTTTCAGTCCCTCGGTTTGTTTTGTAAAATGATATTATGACTTTTATTATGGATACAATATGAAGAAAGTCGCGAATAATCTTTATATTCTATACTGTATATTTATATAAACAATTTTTTTATCGATAGACACTTGGCATTGTGAAAACTCATAATCATTAGTCTTTATATTAACTAATATTATCTGGTTAATTTGAAATCGAAAAACGTTCTAAACTAATTAATTTGATAAACTTTAAGCAAGCAATACTGGTAAGTATCTTTATTATATAAAACTAAATCATAATCATTTTTCTTTACATCAAGTTTTACATATCCCTTAAAGGTCATCAAAGGAATTACACCTTCAAAATTGAATTTAGTCACCGATAATTACGTATTGATCGATCCTTCAAATAAATAACGACAATAGTTGTTGGTCCTTTGTTATCACAAAAACAGTGAAGTAATACATCTGGCTAACACATATTAATCAATAAAATTTGAATTGACATTGGTACCTATCTTTCTGATTATTTATTTAAAAGATTGTTGATGCCTTTTAATATGCTAAGACAGAGAATACGGTTGCATTGTATTTCGAATAGACAATTTATAGATCGAGTTAACTTCGCATCCCGGAAAAAACCTATCGTTTTTATCTGAATCTATGTCAGGTTTGGGCGATTTTATCCGACTTATGTTTCGGATCTTTGCCAGATTTTATCAGCAAATATCCTTTGAAATGTCAGAATAAAATAACGGCGAATTTCTGATAAAAAACGTCCGGTTTTTTTTACGGGGATAATAGAATGCTGATGTTGCAGTTTTTGGTGTGGTGTGTCTGGAAAAGTTGATAAATACTGTATCACGTCTTAAGAAAGTCACAGAGTTAATATGAAAGAATCGAACATTTATTTTATTCGGTTAAATAAATAGCTGTATGCAAAGGATATTTTTAAAACAAAACCGAAGCGTCAGAAAAATTTTAAAAATCCAGTTTATCGAGGTTTATTTAGTTTGTTGAGGCGGTTTACTATAACTGTTCCTTCGGTTTAATCGGGTTGACTGTGTATTTCGTTTTTTGTTAACGTTAATTAAAAATGTGTCATTACGTATACGTATTGATTCCTTTTTCTGCATGAGATCGTCTTATTGTTGAGATGTTCAAAAGTTCTGGTTTATTGATAAGTATGAGATTTCAATATTGCAGATGTGGTAGGAAGCCGATGGCTATCAGAGCTAGAATATGAGCATTCATATTTATATAGAAATATTTGAATTATGTTTTATTTTTGTCTCGTTTATGGTATGTAAGATCCGAGTCATCAGATTTTATATGGTATTTTACATCAGACGCGTTTATGTAAGCAAAAAAGTTATCGCTATACATTTTTAGCTGTTATAAAATTCCCGAAACATCTTGGATTCTTTAATTCATCGACGCACGTGATCTATATTCCTTACCGTTGATAATACTGCATAAACCACCTTATCTGTGGAAACTTTAACGTTAAGAAATTGCACCGTGAATCTTAATTTATTTGCAGAAAAATAAGGTTTAAATTTTCCAGAGGGGTGGCAAACTACGATACGTAGTTATTTTTAACTGTGGTACAAAGCACGTGACAAATACGTGTATCCGAAGAGCATAAAGATGCCAAATTTTTGATCAATCCGGAAAAACAAATCCGGCGCAAGAAAATGACAAATGTGCAAAATATGGGAAGCATATGTTTAAATCTAACTTGGTGCACTAATCAAAAATGCCGGTGAGGCAATTTTATATACAATTTTGACTAACTCTAATTCTTACTCCGACCTGCTTTTAAATCATTTTCCGAATATTCACATGTACGTAAAAAAATCTTGGGATAGTTATCAAACTTAGAATTATAGTTAGAATTGTATGTATTGCCTCCTCAACATTTCGAAGCTAGATTTAGATATTTGTTTCAATATTTTTCATTTGTTTTGTCAGGGACTGATCAAAAATTTTGAATATATTTCCAAAATTTGGTTTGGTTCAAAAGTTTTGAACTAAATTTAAAGTCTAGTTCAGTTTGAAATTTGAATTAAACGCAAACTAAAACAAAAAAGTTTGAGTTCAATTTCAGTTTCAGTTTGAGTTTGGTTCAAATTCAAGTTCTGTTTGAATTCAAGTTCAATTTGAGTTTAATTAAGTTTGAGTTCAATTTGAGTTTTGTATAAAAAGATATTTAATAATTATTAAGTATTAACTGATTCAAATAAATTGAAAACTTCTTTTTAAAATAATTAGTATATTATATTTGTAAAGTTTTTATATTTATAAAATATTATTTAAGATTTTAATAAAAAAAATAAAAAAATAAATTTTAATGTGGTGCCAATATGTTATATCTGATATATAAAGACAAAATTTTCAAAATCTAATTGATAACTTTGTTTTTTATAATAAGTTACCAGTCAAATTTTGAAAATTTTGTTTCTATATTAAGTAATAGCATTCTAAAATTGAAATATTATTGTTAAATATAATTTAAAAATTCTTATATTTGTAATTTAATATATTAATTATAAAAAATTTTTGTAATAACTTTATAATTATAATAATTTTATTAAATGAAAGCTAAAAATTCAGAAAAATATATAGTAACTAATAAACTTATAAAATTATGTGTATAATTTTATTAATAAAATATAATAAAAATTAAAATTTTTATTTTATATAATAGTTTCAATTTATTTTTTATATTAAAATAAAAATTATAAATTATATTTTAACTAAGAATAATCTTTAAAATAATATTATTTAATTAAATAATTTATTAAAATTAACTTGTCAAAATTAAATTCAAAATTATTTTGACTTGTTTTATTATTAACCAAAATTATTATTTAAATTTTGCAAACTCAAACAAGCATTTTTAGATATTTTTAAATATTTATTAATATAAATAATATAACAAAACTAAATTATTTACTAAAATATTATTTTTAAAAAAAAGAATTTAGATAATTAATTATATTTAATTTTAATTTACATATCTCTACATTATATTACTGGAAATTGAAAAAAAATAGTAAAACATAGTAAAATTGATATTATTATTTTATATTAAAATTTGTTATTTTATTAATAAATATTTTTTATTTTTATACTAAAA